ACAAAATATTTCCAGTTTATTTCCAATTCCTAAGTGTATTTTTATCTGTATTAACACTCTGTTAGTGACTTAACCTTACCATATATTTGAACATTGGATCATTTCCATTTTTTTCTCACTATTATAATAACATGAATAATTTCATTCATTGTACTTTTCTATACTTTCCATATTTGAATTTATTTCCTCACAATAGAATATCCAAAGTAAATCATCAGATTAATAAATTTAGACTATTTAAAGATCTTAAAACAATCTGTATAAGTGTACATTAATAATAGTGTTATTCCAGTTTAAGTCTACAAACGATATATAAGAATTTCTACTTTACTATGACCTTAGTATAATTAGATCATTTTCTATTGTTTACAGCAGGTAACTGACTCATTATGTAAATGTTTTTGGTTAGACACCAGAATAATACAGTACAACCAAATTATGAAGTCCAGCAGATATTTAAGAGATTAACAAACCTCTTGTGGAATCCAGCTCTTCAATACGTCTATCAGTAAATTTTATATGGATAAATTATATATATATGCATAAATATTTTGTGTAAAACTATATTTATATATTTTATATTTATAAATATACATATTTTAAAATTTTTAATGTTTATATTAGAGAGAAACAGCATGAGTTGGAGAGGGGCAGAGAGAAAGGAAGACACAGAATCTGAAGCAGGCTCCAGGCTCCGAGCTGTCAGCACAGAGCCAGATGCATGGCTCAAACCTATGAAATGTGTGATCATGACCTGAATGGAAGGCTGAAGTCAGGCACTCACCCAATTGAGTGACCTAGGCGTCCCTATATGTATATGTATATATATACATATGTATATGTATGTATATGGAGCACACACACACACAGAAATATTAATGGTTCTTTGGTTTGCTGTTTTTATCTTAAATAATGTTTTATTTAATGTTTGTTTATTTTGAGAAAGAGAGTGTGTACCCGAGCTCCATGCTGTCAGCACAGTTCATCATCTTGATTTAAAAAAATCAAGGCTACATCATCTTGAATTAAAAAAAAAAACAACAACAAAAGTACAATATCAACAGTGAGAGAAATCCAGTCTCTCTATAAACGGAGGCCCTTCATAATTTGAAATGAGTTGTGAACATTTGAGAAAGAACCTTTACTTCTCATTTCAATTGCTTTTTATGTCAATCTCTATTCATATCCAAGACTATAACATCTTGAATTCATTTTGCCTGCTGACATGAGAGTTGACAACTTAGAGACATTTATTTTTTTGTGTGTGTGGTAATGTATACATAGCATAACATTTAGATCGTGCCCATTTTTCAGTGTACAGATTTGTGGCATTGAGCATATTCACATTGCTGTGTAACTATCACCATCATTCTTATCCAGAATTTGTCTTCTGCAATCAAATGCTAACTCCCTTTAACTCTCCCCCTATCCCTTGGCACTGCCATTCTACCTTCTGCCTCTATGAATTTGTTACTCTAGGAAACTTGTAAAATCAGTCATACAATCACATTTTCCTTTTGTGGTTACCTTAAATCACTTATCTAATATTTTCAATGGTGTAGCATGTGTAAGAACTGCCAACTGCCTTCCCTTTTAAGACTGAAAAATACATATATCACATTTGGTTTGCCATTCATCTGTTGGATACTTAAGTTACTATGAGCATTCGGCTTATGAATAGTGCTGTTATGAGCATGAGTACACAAACATCATGTTTGAGTCTCTGCCTTTACTAATTGTGGGGATATATCCAGAAGTAGAATTGTTGGATCATCGACAGACACCCTTTTAATTCATCATTTTTGAAGTTATTTTCTTGATTTAAAGAGCACAGTATATCTCTTTTTTATACCATAGAAAAGTTTACCAGTCTCTAAAGACAACACAAAGTTCTTGACTAAATGGGGGTGGAAGTGTATTTACTTACTTATTTACTTAGCTAACTTATTATCTATTACTATATATTACTTAGCTATTATTACTTACTAATCAGTAATTAGTAAGTAATATACAGCACTCTTTCAAAAGAAATTGACAGCCAGGTGTTCATATCTTGACTCACTGGGAATATATTTAATTAGGTTATTCTCTTAGTTCAACATCCTTCAGACTAACTTCTTGGGTAAAAATAACTTAGTTTAGATACCTGTTTTGACTGATGTTAAAAAGTTACAACTTTATTTGGCCAATTTGCTATTATGGAAAAGGTCAGAAATGGATAATCAAAACCACTTTCCAATAAAGCAGGGGGTTAGTGCTGGAAAGGAATAACAAAGCATGGTCAACCAATGCAGAAACTGGCAGTCACATGAAAATATTATTTGAAAATCATTCTTTTAATATTATCTTCATACAGATTGATTTTGGAAAATAAAAAAACACAGATAATGTGTTGTCTCAGGGCCAACTTGGGTTCAGGTCATGATCTCGTGGTCTGTGAGTTGGAGCCCCATGTCGGGCTCTGTGCTGACAGCTCAAAGCCTGGAGCCTGCTTCAGATTCTGGGTCTCCCTCTCCCTCTGCCCCTGCCCCACTCATATTCTGTGTGTGTATGTCTGTCTCAAAAATAAACATTCAAAAAAATTTTCAAAAAAGAAAGAAACTGGCAATTATCAATACATCCATTGCCCAGTGTTAGCCACTATTAACTATTTGGCATATTTTTTCTAGTCATTGTTATATAGACTTAAATTAAAATTAACCCAAGTGAATAAAACATATCTATTCTTTATCCATCATTCAAAAAGTAGAAAAGGTACAGATAAAAATTATGTAGTAATTTTAGTGTTTGATAATAATCCTTGTTATAGTTCATTGAATCTCTCTCTGCAGGTTGTAACAAATATATCTGTTACAATGAAATTTTACTTTGAAGTGCTATTTACAACTTAAAAATACCACTGTGTCAGAGCACCTGGATGGCTCAGTCGGTTAAGGGTCCGACTACGTATCAGGTCATGATCTCACAGTTCGTTGAGTTCGAGCCCCGTGGTGGGCTCTGTGCTAACAGCTCAGAGCCTGGAACCTGCTTTGGATTCTTTGTCTCCTTCTCTCTCTGCCCCTGCCTTGCTCATGCTCTGTCTCTCTCACTCTCAAAAATAAACATTAAAAATAAATAAATAAATAAATACATACATACATACATAAACACATACATACATACATACACACACACACATACTGTGCTGAATTCCATCTATAAAAACAAGAAAGTAAAATTGAAAGAAATTTTTAATTCAGATAAATGTATGTTGAAGATGAAGTTAGTTTGCTACCTATATGATTTAGTTTCAGTAGGACTGATCGGCTCCAAGCTATTTAGGATAAGGACATTAGAATTCTTATATTTGATCCAATTTCCTCTGTCTCATTTGTTGTTAGTCATAGGTTTACAATGTCATTTATAGTGTTAACATTTCTGTTCCACATCTAACATTTCTATGTTTTGATTTATCTTCTACATTAAATTTACTATTCATTAGTTCTTTTACCATTTTTTTCTATTTTCCACAGTTCAACTATAATTAGCTAAATATTTTAAATTTATTTCTAAAAATAAGTTTAGTAGAAAGTTTGAGCCCCGGTTTAACAGATATACAGCTTATATATATGGTGATTTAGTAAACAATAAAAGAGGCATTTTAATTTAATTTGGGAAATATAACTATTTAACTACTGAAGCATTTGAGTAGACATTTTCACAATAAATTTAGATTCATTCCTTCCCCATATACCAAGATAAAATTAACACGTATGGAGAATTTTATTGTAAATAGAATTTGTTGTACAAATGATTGGAATATATATTTTAACTTTGGAGTGGGGAAGCTTTTTCCCCTATATCAGAAACTATTGGATAATAAATATGAAATACTTTCAAATGCAGAGAAAATACCATTTGTGAAATACCATTTGTAAAATTTAAAGCTGAATTTAAATGTTTATGACACTTATAACAACAAAATATATGCAGATATTATGATAAACGTTTTTAGAAAACAACCAATGGAATATGGACATTCACTGACTATTCACCAAATATCCATCTCTGTGTTAGACTCTCATAGGATGGCACTTTATTTCCACTTGGATTAAATAAGATTATGTGATTTGAATTGGACAGGAAAATGTGTACAGAAGTGATGTGTATCATTTCTGAGCTGAAATTTTTGGCTCAACTGCATCCTCAACCCTCTATTTCAGTGGTCATGGAAATACATGTGAAGATTGAATGTTGGTCAGCCTGTATTCCTCATAGCCTATTATCAGCAAAGTTCTCAGCTCATTGGTGATGTTTGGCATAGTCAACAAACGAATCTTTCTTTCTATAGACACTTGAATTATAAACCAGGGATTGAAAAAAATATATTAGAGCATAACTAGTCCTTCCGGATTGATAAAGCTTCTAATAGAAGACTCAACAAAAGAAAAGCCATCGAAAGTGCATTACATGTATTTTAGAACATCTTGAAATCAGTCCACATTTCAGTGTATTGTGTAATCTAGTAAAAGGATAAATGTACTACTTATGGAGTAAAAGCTAGAATTAACTCACTCTTGAATAGGAATATATTCATAGATAGGGTAAACTGACATCTTTACATCTTTTGTCTGCCAGTATCACTTAAAAAGGAATGACAGACGGGGTCACACTCTAGATTGAAAGGCAGTATTGAATTGAACAAAGTGAAAAGTCTGTTTTAAATTGAAGAGACAGAACAAGTCATTACATTTGCTAGAAAATCCTTAGGGTAACTCTGATGGGTAATTATGACATTCCTTTATCCCCTTCCTGAATTTTAGAGCTATCTGAAAATATCCTGATGTTCAGAGACAAGTAAATCTTTTTTGAGGATACTTTTTCTCAATTATATCACTCAGAGGAAATCCTATGTGCATTGTGTTTCAGAGTAATGGTGAAAAATTAAAAATTTCCCTAATCAGCCAAGGATCTTTACTAGAAGATAGATTACTAAAGTTTACACTTTGTTTTCTTTTCAGGATTAGAGTCCTTTAAACTGCAGAAGTATTAGATCACTGCCAATTTATCAACAAAACAAAGTAAGGAGCCTCTTAAAAACAATCACCTCATAATTTTTCAAAATAACTGAAGAAGCAAGTTGTGAGCTCAGCTACTATATATGCAAAAGGTAAATATATAATTTAATTGCTTTCTGCCATATTTTTATTAACTACTTAGAAACAGTGACAGATAAACCACAATATATATGTACGTGTATATATAGAGATTCTAATTACTTATAATTATGAACATTTCACTGTTTAATTTTCATATATATATTTGTATATATATTCAAACTTTCATGGAATTTAAAAAGCAAGAAAAGATAAACAAGTCAAAACATACCAGTGAGAGTCATCTCTGATTTTGATTCTTTTTGATATTTCATCTTGAGATAATTGTGTCTGTGTGTGTGTATTTATATATACATATATATATATGCATATATGTGTATGTGTATATGTATATGTGTGTATATGTACATATATGTGTGTGTAAAACTTTTGAAGATAATTTTATATAATACATGTTATCCATCTCTTGAGGATTCATTCTCTTTTTTTTTCAATATATGAAATTTATTGTCAAATTGGTTTCCATACAACACCCAGTGCTCATCCCAAAAGGTGCCCTCCTCAATACCCATCACCCACCCTCCCCTCCCTCTCACCCCCCATCAACCCTCCGTTTGTTCTCAGGTTTTAAGAGTCTCTTATGCTTTGGCTCTCTTCCACTCTAACCTCTTTTTTTTTTTTTTTTCCTTCCCCTCCCCCATGGGTTTCTGTGAAGTTTCTCAGGATCCACATAAGAGTGAAACCATATGGCATCTGTCTTTCTCTGTATGGCTGATTTCACTTAGCATCACACTATCCAGTTCCATCCACGTTGCTACAAAGGGCCATATTTCATTCTTTCTCATTGCCACGTAGTACCCCATTGTGTATATAAACCACAATTTCTTGGGGCGCCTGGGTGGCGCAGTCGGTTGAGCGTCCGACTTCAGCCAGGTCACGATCTCGCGGTCTGTGGGTTCGAGCCCCGCGTCGGGCTCTGGGCTGATGGCTCAGAGCCTGGAGCCTGTTTCCGATTCTGTGTCTCCCTCTCTCTCTCTGCCCCTCCCCTGTTCACGCTCTGTCTCTCTCTGTCCCAAAAATAAATAAACGTTGAAAAAAAAATTTTTTTTAAACCACAATTTCTTTATCCATTCATCAGTTGATGGACATTTAGGCTCTTTCCATAATTTGGCTATTGTTGAGAGTGCTGCTATAAACATTGGGGTACAAGTGCCCCTATGTATCAGTAATCCTGTATCCCTTGGGTAAATTCCTAGCAGTGCTATTGCTGGGTCATAGGGTAGGTCTATTTTTAATTTTCTGAGGAACCTCCAAACTGTTTTCCAGAGCGGCTGCACCAGTTTGCATTCCCACCAACAGTGCAAGAGGGTTCCTGTTTCTCCACATTCTCTCCAGCATCTATAGTCTCCTGATTTGTTCATTTTGGTCACTCTGACTGGTGTGAGGTGGTATCTGAGTGTGGTTTTGATTTTATTTCCCTGATAAGGAGCGACGTTGAACATCTTTTCATGTGCCTATTGGCCATCTGGATGTCTTCTTTAGAGAAGTGTCTATTCGTGTTTTCTGCCCATTTCTTCACTGGGTTATTTGTTTTTCAGGTGTGGAATTTGATGAGCCCTTTATACAATTTGGATACTAGCCCTTTGTCCGATATGTCATTTGCAAATATCTTTTTGCCTTTTAGTTTTGTTGGTTGTTTCCTTTGCTATGCAGAAGCTTTTTATCTTCATAAGGTCCCAGTAGTTCATTTTTGCTTTGAATTCCCTTGCCTTTGGGGATGTGTCGAGTAAGAGATTGCTACGGCTGAGGTCAAAGAGGTCTTTTCCTGCTTTCTCCTCTAGGGTTTTGATGGTTTCCTGTCTCACATTCAGGTCCTTTATCCATTTTGAGTTTATTTTTGTGAATGGTGTGAGAAAGTGGTCTAGTTTCAATCTTCTGCATGTTGCTGTCCAGTTCTCCCAGCACCATTTGTTAAAGAGACTGTCTTTTTTCCATTGGATATTCTTTCCTGTTTTGTCAAAGATTAGTTGGCCATACTTTTGTGGGTCAAGTTCTGGGGTTTCTATTCTATTCCATTGGTCTATGTGTCTGTTTTTGTGCCAATATCATGCTGTCTTGATGATGACAGCTTTGTAGTAGAGGCTGAAGTATGGGATTGTGATGCTTCCTGCTTTGGTCTTCTTCTTCAAAATTACTTTGGCTATTCAGGGCCTTTTGTGGTTCCATATGAATTTGAGGATTGCTTGTTCTAGTTTCGAGAAGAATGCTGGTGCAATTTTGATTGGGATTGCATTGAATGTGTAGATAGCTTTGGGTAGTATTGAGATTCTGACAATATTTATTCTTCCAATTCATGAGCACGAAATATTTTTCCATTTCTTTATATCTTCTTCAATTTCCTTCATAAGTTTTCTATACTTTTCAGCATACAGATCCTTTACATCTTTGGTTAGATTTGTTCCTAGGTATTTTATGCTCTTGGTGCAATTGTGAATGGGATCAGTTTCTTTATTTGTCTTTCTGTTGCTTCATTGTTAGTGTATAAGAATGCAACTGATTTCTGTACATTGACTTTGTATCCTGCAACTTTGCTAAATTCATGTATCAGTTCTAGCAGACTTATGATGGAGTCTATCGGATTTTCCATGTATAATATCATGTCATTTGCAAAAAGTGAAAGCTTGACATCATCTTTGCCAATTTTGATGCCTTTGATTTCCTGTTGTTGTCTGATTGCTGATGCTAGAAATTCCAACACTATGTTAAACAACAACGGTGAGAGTGGACATTCCTGTCGTGTTCCTGATCTCAGGGAAAAAGCTCTCAGTTTTTCCCCATTGAGGATGATGTTAGGTGTGGGATTTCCATAAATGGCTTTGATGATCTTTAAGTATGTTCCTTCTATCCCGACTTTCTCGAGGGTTTTCATTAAGAAACATTGCTGAATTTTGTCAAAGGCCATTTCTGCATTGATTGACAAGATCATATGGTTCTTATCTTTTCTTTTATTAATGTGATGTATCACGTTGATTGATTTGCGAATGTTGAACCAGCCCTACAGCCCAGGAATGAATCCCACTTGATCATGGTGAATAATTCTTTTTATATGCTGTTGAATTCGATTTGCTAGTATCTTATTGAGAATTTTTGCATCCATATTCATCAGGGATATTGGCCTGTAGTTGTCTTTTTTTACTGGGTCTCTGTCTGGTTTAGGAATCAAAGTAAGACTGGCTTCATAGAATGAGTCTGGAAGTTTTCCTTCCCTTTCTATTTTTTGGAATAGCTTGAGAAGGATAGGTATTATCTCTGCTTTAAACGTCTGGTAGAACTCCCCTGGGAAGCCATCTGGTCCTGGACTCTTATTTGTTGGGATATTTTTGATGACTGATTCAATTTCTTCACTGGTTATGGGTCTGTTCAAGCTTTGTCTTTCCTCCTGATTTTTGGAAGTGTGTGGGTGTTTAGGAATTTGTCCATTTCTTCCAGGTTGTCCAGTTTGTTGGCATATAATTTTTCATAGTATTCCCTGATAATTGCTTGTATCTCTGAGGGATTGGTTGTAATAATTCCATTTTCATTCATGATTTTATCTATTTGGGTCATCTCCCGTTTCTTTTTGAGAAGCCTGGCTAGAGGTTTGTCAATTTTGTTTATTTTTTCAAAAACCAACTCTTGGTTTCCTTAATCTGCTCTACAGTTTTTGTAGATCCTATAATGTTTATTTATGCTCTGATTTTTATTATTTCTCTTCTTTTGCTGGGTTTGGGGTGTCTTTGCTGCTCTGCTTCTATTTCCTTTAGGTGTGCTGTTAGATTTTGTATTTGGGATTTTTCTTATTTCTTGAGATAGGCCTGTATTGCAATGTATTTTCCTCTCAGGACTGCCTTTGCTGCATCCCAATGCGTTTTGATTGTTGTATTTTCATTTTCATTTGTGTCCATATATTGTTTAATTTCTTCTCTCATTGCCTGGTTGACCCATTCATTCTTTAGTAGGGTGTTCTTTAACCTCCATGCTTTTGGAGGTTTTCCAGACTTTTTCCTGTGGTTGATTTCAAGCTTCATAGCATTGTGGTCTAAAAGTATGCATGGTATGATCTCAATTCTTGTATACTTATGAAGGGCTGTTTTGTGACCCAGTATGTGATCTATCTTGGAGAATGTTCCATGTGCACTCGAGAAGAAAGTATATTCTGTTGCTTTGGGATGCAGAGTTCTAAATATATCTGTCAAGTCCATCTGATCCAATGTCTCATTCAGGGCCCTTGTTTCTTTATTGATCCTGAGTCTAGATGATCTATCCATTTCTGTAAGTGGAGTGTTAAAGTCCCCTGCAATTACCACATTCTTATCAATAAGGTTGCTTATGTTTGTGAGTAATTGTTTTATATATTTGGGGGCTCCTGTATTCGGAGCAAAGACATTTAGAATTGTTAGCTCTTCCTGATGGATAGACCCTGTGATTATTATATAGTGCCCTTCTTCATCTCTTGTTACAGCCTTTAATTTAAAGTCTAGTTTGTCTGATATAAGTATGGCTACTCCAGCTTTCTTTTGACTTCCAGTGGCATGATAAATAGTTCTCCATCCCCTTACTCTCAATCTGAAGGTGTCCTCAGGTCTAAAATGAGTCACTTGTAGACAGCAGATAGATGGGTCTTGTTTTTTTATCCATTCTGATACCCTATGTCTTTTGGTTGGCGCATTTAATCCATTTACATTCAGTGTTATTATAGAAAGATAGGGGTTTAGAGTCATTGTGATGTCCGTATGTTTTATGCTTGTAGCAATGTCTCTGGTGCTTTGTCTCACAGGATCCCCCGTAGGATATCTTGTAGGGCTGGTTTAGTAGTGACGAATTCCTTCAGTTTTTGCTTGTTTGGGAAGACCTTTATCTCTCCTTCTATTCTAAATGACAGACTTTCTGGATAAAGGATTCTCGGCTGCATATTTTTTCTGTTCATCACATTGAAGATCACCTGCCATTCCTTTCTGGCCTGCCAAGTTTCAGTAGAGAGATCAGTCACAAGTCTTACAGGTCTCCCTTTATA